TACTAATTTAGACGAGGTTCAATTTCAGCAAGACAATGCTCCTAGACACAAATCGACAAGCGATTACGTTGCGTTGGTTTAGAGATAACAACATTGTTTTGTTAGATTCGGCCTCTGTTGATCAAAGATGGCCTCTTCTTGATGAGTGCCGCCTTCAAGCGGCCCATTTGTTGGCAGTAGAGGGCCGAAATGAGCTTTTGGCCATAGAGGAGTAGCTCTTTGTAGATGATGCCTTGCCAATCCCACCAAACTCACAGCAAAACCTGTTGGATCTTTGACATCGAAATTACCGAAACGGAACCTAGCAAACCACTTTTGTGCTACACGTTCGTTTACAGTATCAGGCCCATAAACTAAACTAATTTTTCAGCCGCTTTGGCTGCTTTTCCGCCTTGATCGAAGTAAAATTGTAAAACATAGCGAATTTCCTCTTTGCTGGTGTCCCATCTTTGGCGAGCGCTCACAACGTACTGAGTCAAGCAATCGAAAAACTGTCAAAGGCAAACTTTTAGCGCGAATAAATAGGTTTTCAGCGCCTTATAGTATAACATGATAACACCAGTACTATGGACAATAACGGCATCTCTTAGTTAAAACCCGAACGAACTTTTACCCTTATTTATATATATATAATATATAAATTTGTGATAGTTCTATATATATATATATATATATATATATATATATATAGAACTATCACAAATTTTTGGTATTAAACTTTAGTAAATATTGTATTAAAGTAGTAAAAAAAACAAAAACAAAAACAAAAACAAAACAAAAATAAAATAAAAAGACAGCAACAAATTCGGGTATTGTTCTTCAAATATTTGGTCAGCATGCTCTGTAAACGGGAATTCGCACGAGCAACTTGAACAAATAAAGTCAAAATCAAATATGCAATGTGAATGAACATAAATTACCACTTAGTAGACGCAGTTGCCTTGAGTTAAGACTCACTTAAGAAAAGATGAAGATAAATAAAACAAACAACTAATAAAACAGTCAATATTACATACATACATACACACATACTTAGTAAAGTGTTTCAAGCCAAAAATAGAAGAACTGTACATACATACATACATACATTTATATATGTACGTTTATTGTAAACGAAACGACGGGAAAGGACTGCAGAGCGAAAGAAAGGCAACCTTGGCAAACAATAAGCCATGTTTTTGTTTGTTGACCGAATATTTGGCGAAATCAGTATATTTGGGGGTAGTTGAAAATTAACAGCGTCAAAACAACAAAACAACAAAACAACAGACAGCAATGCGGACAATATAACAACAAATACAAACAAACAACAAAGAGCAAAGAATAATTACCCGTCAAAAGAGCTACGTAGTTACATATAGGACAATGTACTGTATATATGTATGTATGAGTAAATCAAGAGTAGAATAAAAAGAATAAAAATGCAATGACTAGTTACTTCTTAGATGGCAGTTAAGCTGTAGATGAATTTATCGCCCAGCAGATTCACACCCAAAGCTCACTCCTTTCACATACAGAAAACGCCTACAAACTATCATAACACACACATACACACACACTCACTTACATCCACATTTTCATAAATAAATATTTATACCAACAAACTTAAATTTATTCGCACCGCAAGCCACAAGCAACAACGTGAATATTTGATAAGAAGAATTGTATGTACATATGTATGTATGTGTATGTGCGCACACTACTAACAACATTATACCTACATATGTATGTATTATAGCTACAACCGAACTTACCGAACCTGCCTGCACGTCTGCTCCACCCACAGAGCCAAGACAAATGCGCCCCGAGTCAAGAATGACAGCTCCAAAGCAATAAATTCTGCTGCAGGCTACTCGTATTCACAATCCTTACAACGCCAACACACACACACGCACACACAAGCCACCCATTATTGACTACAATCATGGCATGATATATATTATTATTTTATATACAAGCATACATACATATGTATATGTACGAATATGTATTAGAAAGGCGTATGTGTAGCGAAGGTGCCAATACTGCCACCTAGGCCATTGCTCAAGGCTCTATTAAAATATCTTCTTCTTCTGCTGTGCAAGCGGAAATGACCGTCAAGGCGTTTGGGACAAACCAAACGAACAAACAAACAACGTAGGATAAAAATACAAGAAAGACAAACGGCTAAGACATTCAAGGAAACTAAAGAGAGTTAAGATTTTGTGTGTGGGTTTTCTGCTGACGCAGACGAAAGGACGAGCCTCGCAACTGACAGGCTGCAAAAGGAAGTAGGCAACGCAGGAAGTGCAGATTGTGGTTACTGCCGTTAAGGTTCTATTCTCGGTTTGTATGTGGAGTTCGGGTGTTAATTTTAGGAAAGGTGCTAGCTAGATAATATGTTGTTGGTGTTGTTTGTTATCGTTTTGGGTTTTCTCTACTTTCATTTTGTATTGTATAGTTTTGATTTATTTATCATACATACATACGAATTTAGGTTGATGCATGGGCGGCAGTGTGCAGTGTGAACAGACGTGCGCGCTATCATGAGGAGGGTCAAGGAATCGAATATTTTAAATTCGCTCGCCTTTGGGTAGAGAATACTCGTCCCGCTGAGTGTATATCTGACATAGTACAATAATGAAATGCTGTAAGTTCCTTCATTCTTACGGAAAGCAAAAAAAAGAAGCTAGGTTTTCAGAAACAAGAAAGCTTGGTGTATAGAAAATTTTGAAAAACATGTACTGGCAATTGTTTAAATCGCTTACCCACTCATATAACGGTAATTCCTTCTCTTCTTTTATTACATTTTATTTGTTTTTTATTTATTGTTTATTATTTTTATTTTTTTATTTTGTTTTTTTTTTGTGTTATTTTTTTATGTTGTTTTTAATTTTTAATTTTTTTTAAATGTCTTATAATTTTTTATTTTTTATTTGTTTTTTTTTTGTTTTATTTTTTTAATATTTTTTTATTATTTTTTTTATTATTTTTTTTTATTATTTTTTTTATTATTTTTTTATTATTTTTTATTATTTTTTTTATTTTTTTATATTTTTTTAAATATTTTTATTTTTTTTTTATTTTTTTTTTTTTTTTTTTTTTTTTTTTTTATTTTTTTATATTTTTTATATTTTTTTTTAGTTTTTTTTTTATTTTTTTATATTTTTTTATATTTTTTTATATTTTTTTCTATTTTTTTTATATTTTTTTATATTTTTTTATATTTTTTTATATTTTTTTTATATTTTTTTATATTTTTTTAGTTTTTTTTATTTTTTTTTTTCATTTTTTGTTTTTTATTTTTTTATTTTTATTTTTATCTTTTTCTTTTTTTTTAATTGGATTGTTTATTTTATTCCACTTAATTAAATTTTTTTATAACATTTAGTTTTGGTATTCTTTTTTACTTTATTTTATTTTGTATGGTATTATTTTATTTGATTTTTTTATTTCATTTTAATTATTTTTAATTAAAGTTTAATTAAAGTTTATTTCATTTTTTCTTTTTGTGGTACTTTATTTTATTTTTAGCTACTGTATTTTGTTTTATTTTATTTTATTTCATTATTCATTGTTTATTTTCTTTTTGAATTTTTTTTTATTTTTTATATGTGTATTTACTTGATTTTATTTAAGTTTTTCAGTTTATTTCATTTTACTTTATTTTATATTATTTAATTGTATATTATTTTATTTTATTTTAGGTTATTTATTTTTTATATTCTGCATTTGATGTTGAATATTTTATTTTATTCTATATAATTATAACTATTTTGTTTAAATTCATTTTTTTTTTACTTTTTTTTTACATTTATTTTTTATTTTATTTTATTACATTTGAGGTTAAATATTTTATTTTATTTTATATAATTATAACTATATTGTTTAATTTCATTTTATTCTGTTTCATTTTTTCGTTTTTTTTATTTTCCTCATTTTATTTATTTAATTGTAATTACATATTTATTTACTTTTTTGTTAATTTATTTTACTTCATTTTAACTTTTCATATGCTTTTATTTTTATTTTGTTTTTTATAGATATGTGTATGTCATATGTGGTTATCTATTTTATATTATTAAGTTTTATTTGATTTTAGGTTGTTTATTTTATTAAATTTTAAATAACTTTATTTTATTTTAACTCATACTTTTTTTTTAATTTCATGCATTTTATTTTGTTTTTGATTTTTTGTCTTTAATTTTATTCTAATTTTTCAGTTTGTTCTTTTAACTTTATTTTATTAACTTTTACATTTTATTATTTTTTTTTTATCTTTTGTTTTTAATTTTTTTATTAATTTTTTTGTATTTAATTTTTTGTCATTTTATTTATTAATATTTAATTTTATTTTATTAAGTTATATTTTTTCTCTTATTTTAATCCATTTTAATTTTTTTATTATTTGTTTTTAATTATTTTATTTTATACTTTTTTATTTATTTTATACTTTTTAATTTATATTATTTTTTTATGTTATTTTACTTTATAAAAATTTTTTATTTTTACCATATTTTGCATTTTGTTTTTGTATTTTATTGTATTTTTTACGTTTAGTTATAGAAATAATACTGTTATTAATGACAAAATCTTTAATGAAGACAAATTCCATCTCAAGAAAATCGATACACTCACACAGTGGCTCATAAAATTCAAAATTACTTTTACTTATTTCTTCAGTATGAATGCATGTTAACCACCCCTCAGGCTCTTAACTACACATTAGTACCTATATATATATATATAAGCAGGTTACTATTGTAGCTTCAGTCCAATTTTTTACAGTTATTTACGTGCACAGAAAGCAACAAATCAAGATTTATGCGTGATATTAACAAAATTGATGGCTTTGCTGGTAGAAAGCCCAGAAGGGATGTACTATATATCGGTGATATACAGCAATAGAGAAATCGGGAGGATTTATTAATATCAGTGAAATAAAGAAACTTTCAGTAGGGTATTCACATCCTAGTTATAATATTAATTACACTAGTAGTAATTTTTCTTTCTCCACTCACCTTTTGTGCCTTACAAGTGACACTGATGGACTGCACCTCATGTCCGGGATGTTGTTTTTCGGCAATGCACTGTGGGCAGGCGGGCATCTTACACACCAAACAATACATTGACAGTGTATCTTCATGTTCACCGCAAACGGACTCTCTTTGTGATGCCGCATTGCGCGGCTTTACCAAATTATGTTTAGCCAATGGGCCACGTGCCGGATGACATAGCTCCCTACATGCATCACAATAACGTATTTCGCATTGCTCACACACAATCGAAGCCACCTTCGGATCCGTTTCGCACATTTGACAGCGTAATGCCTCACGTGCACAAAAACGATCAACAATCGATTCCATAGTACGATAGGCGGGCAAATTACGTACACCACCCTCGTCGAAGAACACAAGCTTCCGGCAGAGCGGACAAGTGAGATAGAAAGCAGCACCAGGCGGTGCAGCAGCGGCAGCACCCTGTAGTAAACCTTGTAACTGTGCGGTGCCGGCGTACGAAACCGGACGTGATGTGTTCGAACAGCAAACGACGCCCGAATCGGCCTCACTCAAAATGCTCACCTTATCTGCTTGATCCTGATCGGAAGTGACACTTTCGCTGCCCGTAGCAGAGCTAGCCGTACTTGCGGCTGAACTGTTCGATGAATGACGTGTCGATGGTGGATGAGATGAAGGTGGTTGTGGTGTTGGGACTGATGCGGACGCGCCAACACCACCGTGTGCATGTACTGTAGCGGTAGTGGTAATACTGTTACCATGAGATGCTGTACTACCATGCAATGGATGTGAATGTACTAGGCAACCGCCGCCGCCGCCGCCGCCACCGCCGTTAATATTGCCGTTGGAGACCAATGCAGCTGCACTGACGTTGACAGCAGCCAAGGCCGAAGCTGGCGTATACGCGGTCTGTATGTCGAGTGCACAGCCCAGGCAGAGGGCGTGAAAGCATGGCAATAGTACCGGATTGGCGAAAAGCTGTTTGCATGTCGGGCAACGTAGTTCCTCCTCCATGCTAGCGTTGTTTTTTTTTTGTCGGTATGTGTGTGTGTGTGCCTTGGGAGTGTATGTAGTCTTTATGACAGTTTTAGTTTGGGTCTTTTGGGGGGGAGGGTTTTGCTCCAAAATATCAATTGAATTGTCAATTTTTCTCTTTTCAATATGCGTATTTAAGGGCTGGAATTTAACACATTTTCATTTTAACACTTCACGCGTTCACTTCCGGTACAACATATGTTTGTTGCACTTCCGTTCGGTGTTTAAAACTGCACACAGATTGTATTGTTTGTAAATTTGATGACATGGAATTGTCATAGGGTAAAAGTATTTTTTTATTTTTCGATAATAATTTTTTTTTATATAATGAATTATTATTATTTTTTTAATTTTTTTTTATTGCATATATTGATATATTTGAGGAATATTAAAACAGGTGTTTGGATTTTTCACACCTACACATTTAATTGTTAAACTGACTTTTTAGAGGAAAGTAAACTTTCTTCCTTTCTTCTCTTTTCTTCACAAACTTTTTTATTCTAAAACTTTTATCCGTTATTCACTTCAAATATTTTTCTTTGTTTAATTTTTTTTTTCAAATTTCTATTGTGTATTCATTTACTTGTAGCTTCACTTGAATCTAGGTGCATTATCCTTTATCACTTATTTTATCTCTCTAATTTTTAATCTTTCTCCAATCGACTATTTTTTTACGAAAAATTCTTTAATCAATGTTAAATTTCACATTCAGATTTCTTTTGTCAATTTTCCACCATTCTGCAAAAATTAAAAATTGTATGATATTGCTATTATTTCATGATTGAATTGTAAAAAAATAATTACACTCTTAATGCCTTTAATTGATAAGAACATAAAATTAATAAATGGTAATAATTGCGTTGCCCTTTTTTTTTGCTGATAACATTTTTTTATTTTATTTTAATTTTTTTTAATTCGTTTTTATATCAGAATTCAGTTAAAAATTAACTATGAACTTGTATATGGTAAGCAAACTTGCACCTGTATATATACTGAATTATATTTCTGCAAAGTTAATGAGCAAAAAAATTATAGATAGCGCCAGAAATTAATTCAATTAGGAAATTTAAAAAAAAAAAGCTTGAAAATATTTTGTAACCAAAAAACATTGCTAAACATGCAATAATAAATATTTTATTTTTAATTATGTATTGAACGGATACTTTTTTTTCAAACACTTTTTTGTTTAAAAATTATTTTAATAAAAATTTGTTTCACACACATTTTGTTTATATATTGAAAGCAAATTTTTTTTTGTAATCTAAAAACCAATTATGTTTTGCCGTAAAAATCTTTTCTTAATGCATTGTCGTAATTTCCAAACTTTCCATTCAACTTTTCTCAAACTTTCAGTAAACACTTTTATTGTTAACTTATCAATTTAATGAACTATCTAGTTGTTTATATGTATGTATATATGTATGTGTGTAAGTACAAATCTCTTTTGCACACAAACTTATTTCAAACAATTTCCATTTTTATCAAAATCATAAATATGCGTTTGAAGGCAAGAGGACGCGCCACCCACTAATTGCCGGCTTTAGAGAATCAGCATAAACACAGGTGAAGCAGCAGAAACAATAACGCAGCATAAGCACATTTAACTTATACACATTTTTTGCTTTTCATACTCTATTCATAGCAATTTTCCTTTTTAACTAGAGTGCACAGCAGAGGAATCACAATAATCCTTTACGGTGTTTGCCTTTATGATTTGCGGCAAATTGGAAATTTTGATCTTAACAGCACTTAGGAAAGGTGTGATATTACAAACAAGCAATCAAAATACAGACACAAAACCATAGATATTATCAAATATGTATGTATGTATGTTCATACATATGTACACGTATATCCCTATAAAAGCTATTACTTTTTTTGTTTTAAAGAGATTAAAGTAATTTTCACTTAGCGCCGTCACGGAAATGATTTCATTCAACACTTTCCACCATCACCTTCTTTGCGCCACTTCCTTGTTGAACACACTTCTCACCTTGACAGCTAACAATTTTTCCAATTTCCGTTCACTATGCAAAAGCGCTGCTATCCATTTTAAATGTAAGCACTCGCTATTTTCCTTTTTTCTATTTCGTACCACTAGTTGTTTTTCACTAACAAAATTCTTCGCTATTTATTGCATTTCCTTTTATCAAGTTGTCGTTTTTGCTATTTTGCATTTATAAACATCCCTCATTTACCGTTTGATCAACAATTTTGTCACACACTTTCATTCAAAGCACTGAAAATATTTTCAATTACACGGCCGCAGATTTAATTTGACGTTTCGAAAACAACCGTTCGCACGTCTACACGTCACGAGTTTCTGCCGACAATAAACTGTTTCGTTGTACAAGCAGCGCCGAAGAACCAGCAAACCAATAGCGACGAACATGTTGCAGCATGTTTGTTGGTATGGAACATGTTGGTAGGGCCGACGTCGAACATGCTGTCAGCGCTTTGTTTGTGGAACGTAACAGTGGTGCGGAGTCGTGCAGCCGGCAACTGTTGTTTTATTTAACTGAAATTTTTGAATTTCGCCATGTGATGGGGGAACAGAGTTTCCAAATTTTGCATTTTTTCTGATTTAAAATGTGTTTTTTTAAGGAATTTCGATACATGAAATAGAGATAAAATTGCATTTTATCTATTAATATAATTTTTGATATTAAGTATCTTACCTAATCAGAGAACTTATAATATTAATAATTTTACTTCTTATCATTTCTTAATTTATTTTGGTTTTAATTTTTTTTAAATAATAAAAATTAAAAATTATATTTTTTTAAGTAATTTATTTTTTTAATAATAAAAAATTTTACCATTTTTATTATGTTTTTTTTTAATGTTTTTATTTTAAAATTTTTCTTTATATTTTAAGTAACCCCAGATTAAATATAATAAGTTTTTAAAATCCTGTTTATTTCTATTAAAAAAATATATTTTTCTATCGGATGTTTTAAATATATTTTAATACACATATCTAATGATTCTATTAAATTTTACTTTTTAACATTACTAAATATAAATTTGTTTAGATTTTTTTTTTAATAATTTAAAAATTAAAAATATTAGTTAATTTATTTCCTATTTAGCACAATTGTAAAGAAATACATTAACATATGTAGATAAAATAATTGCACACAATTTCTTTGTTTTCGGCAGAAAATCAGTTGACTTAACTCTGCTAACTTTTACATGGCTGTTAATTCAGGTATGGTGAATCCCTTTATCGATGTGGTGAATCCTTTTGCCGTTTTTTTTTCTGAAAACGTTTGAAGGTTGTTATGATAAGTTCTCTGGCTAACTATTGCATTTTAAATATGGAATTCTAGAGTTAAGTTAGACTGGTTGACTTCGTGAGAGGTCCCGCATAAACTATACTACTTTCTCAGTATTACCAATAACACTACATACCAACAGATCAAAGCCCTAAAATGCTATTCTTTCTGCTTTGTCCACCGCTTGCTGTTATCTTAGCGAATCGTTGCGACGACGCTTGGGCCATTTGTACAGATCAGATTATCCTTTATTCTCGCAATGTTTGAGTAACTTCGGTCAATGAGCTCCAGCCCTTTCAAATGACCTTTTAGTCTCCCGTTAAACGCATTGAACTGCAGCTTCCCTTCACCATTCTATTTAAAATCTTCTGTAAAGTTATATTCGCGAATTTTATTCCTTTGCTCTGTTCTTCTGTCTCTAACTAATGTAGCCGACGGAAGCTTCCCGAAAGTCAGGCGCGAGGCATTGTAGTCGAATCCTGCCCGAAAGGATAACACTATAATGCTACATTTGTATGCCAACATTATCAGCTGACTTGAGACGCTTTGCTACGCCGCAGTTAGAAATGTCCTGTCCTTTGCTACTAACTTCGCTTCGCTGATGTTGGTGCACCGAGAGCTCGGAGACTCATTGCACCCAATCCGTATATGCTTTTCTTCCTCATCCCTCCAACATACTAGAGTACCTTAGATCCAATGATTAACATCTTTTTATATGAATAAAGGACTGCTGATGCCTCCTTTACTCCCTTAACCACTTTGAGCTTCCACGACAACTTGCCGTCCCATTACTATTCCTAACAACTGTCCCATTTGTGGGTTAATCCAATATTTAATTTTATACTCCCTAACATGATATAGCCCAGCTATTTACTATACTAGTGCATCAGCCGCCAGAAGCCCAAGAGTTGCCGAACACTTACTCCTTACATTGACTGAAAGATTAGCTCCTTAGCCTGCTCACCTAACTGGTCCACCTTCATATTTATCAGCCATACATAGAGCACAGAGTCCAAAGCAACGGTGATAATACTGCTCTTTTACGTGGTGCCTCTTTGCACAACTCAGGCCACATTACACTCGATATTTCTAGAACTTAGCAAGTATACATACCAGTGGTCATGAAAGTAGGAAGAAAGTCAGCAGGGCTTTTGGTAGAAGATATTTGATCTCTTAAAAAACCTAAAATTAGCCTTCAGGAAACCCCTGGTGTGTATCCTTGTAACTGTAAAAGTGTTCCTCAAATTTGTTTGTTGTAGAATAATAGCGCTTGGACGGGTAAAAATGTGAATTACTCTGTTTTAAGATCCCCTTCACTTGTGCAATCTTGAACTATTGCACTTTAATCTCTTCTTGTAACATCTCCTCTCTGCCTTTCTTTTTAATTTTTTGAGGAATATGGTACTGGACGTATTTGCTCGATCCCAGAGATCACATCAGAGTTACTCGATATTTCAGCAGTGTGTAATGGCGCGATGTAAAAAGTAGCGCCGCAAATACTATTTCTTCTTATTTCCCAACGAGTTTTTCAAAACTTTTAAAAAGCACTCTTCGGTGTACTATTTTGCAGTTAACGCCCCACTCTTCTGTTTGGTTTCTGGGTCGTACATATAGAACTAAGATTCATTATCAGTAATGACTTTAGTAAAGTTGTTGGACTGAACATTTTCGATTTTTTTTTTGTTTTTTGGGAAAAATGAAGCAAAATGCACTCAAGCTTCTATTTGGGCCTCATTGAGAACTCGTGGTACCCATCGACCAGATTTCAATTGCCTTCGTCGAGTGACGCCATCAGTGAAATATTTTGGTGGACCTTCTCTGGGCTCGTCCTCAACGGAAAAATGTCCGATCTGGAATCTTTGAAACTACTTAGAAGACGCTGCAATCGTTCCTTATGCAATTTGGCATTCACTGAATATATGTATTGGCTCTAAATAGCGCCGAAGCCCGAAGAGAACCACATGGCGAATTTCTGTTTGCGTTGGGAGTGGAATTTCTTTTGACCTATCCTCAGCTATCTTGCGTTTTCTCGTCTCCATTTCAGCTCATCATTCTAAATTCTGAAAGGAAGACTAATAAAAGACAAAGGATTTGGTATTTTATAGATTTTACAATAACAAATTGAAAGTCACCAATTGAGCGAACTTTTGTTAATCCCTTCGTACATTGATTGCATCCGTACAAAGTCCAGAACACACAACAACTAAAGCCAGATGGGCCTTTGTAAAAGATCTCAATTGGCCACCGAGGTCGTGTGGTGACACCGAGACAACGAGATAGATCTACGAGAAAAACTTTTATCTCTTGGGCACTTGAAAACCAACATTCGTCAAGTTATGACTCAGATACCGCCCAATAAGTGTAAAGTGAACGGATGGAAATGTGGTCATTTGAATGATCCAGTGTTTCACATGTAATGTACTTGTATGTGTAATATTATATGGCGGACGTGATAGCCGAATGGTTAGCATTGCGTACTGCCATTCGGAAGGCTCGAGTTCAAATCCTGGTGTCGTACTGAAATCTAAAAAGTTAAGCTAAATTTTCTAATTACGGTCGTCCCTCGGCAGGTAATACCAACCTCAAGGAGTGTATTTCTGGCATGAAATAAAATCTCCTCTTAAAAACCGTCAGCCGTTCGGCTTGGCTTGGTGTAAGTACGAGTATAGTCCCTCCATTTGTTGGAAAAACATCAAGACACAAAAAACACAAACTGGAGGAGGAGCTAGACCGAAAATCGGTCCAGCGGTTACAATATACATGTGTGATATATATATATTTATACATATATATACATATATATACTGTGATATGATTTTTCAACGCTTAAATTATTGTATCACGCTTACGAGTATAATAATTTAATTTCAATGCATTGGATAATTTCACCACCGAATGATTGATTACTGTTAATATTCACCATTAGACAGATTTATTACAAATTGCAAACGAATGTGTTGTGGCAAGCTAATAATTGTAGTTTGTCAACATGACGATTGTCAGCGGTGACATTTAACGTTCATTGAAGATAGTATGTCTTTTGGTATATACATACATACATACCCACTTATACACTTGTGTCGCATATTATTTATAAATACATAATTTCATAAATTGTTGTTGTTGTTACTGTTTACCAACTGATAATAACTTACACAGTACATATTGCGTGTATGCATTAATTCGTGCGGGTTTTATTTCGAAAGACTTTATTGTGAAAAAAATTGTTATTCATTTAATGTTCAAAGTATTGCCCATCGGAAGCTACGATGTTTGCCCATCTTTCTGGCAGTTTGTGGATCCCATCCCAAAATAACTTCTCCGGCTTGGAGACCAAGAAAGAATCAAGCCAATTTCTGATACCCTGTTCTGAAGTGTAGCGTACTCCGGTGAGGGCATTCTGCATTGATCTGAACAAGTGGTAATCGGAAGGTGCTATGGCTGGGCTATAAGGCGGGTGAGATAGAACTTTCCACCCACAGTTTTCCAAATAGTTTTTAACAGGCCTTGCAACACGTGGCCGAGCGTTGTCATGATGAAAAATTATTGATTCGTGCCTGGTAGCATATTCTGGTCGTTTTTCCGAGATGGAAGTTGGTGAAAATTGGAATAGTTTTATGCCAAGTTCAAAAAAATATTGGTCAAAGCTTAGTTAAAAATTAATTATTATATATTTATATTTATATTTATATTTATATTTATATTTATATTTATATTTATATTTATATTTATATTTATATTTATATTTATATTTATATTTATATTTATATTTATATTTATATTTATATTTATATTTATATTTATATTTATATTTATATTTATATATATATTATATTTATATTTATTACATTACTTTAGTAGCAATAAGAGATGTAAGCTCCACACTTTACCACTTCCATGGTAGTGTAAAAAGAAGTAGTAAGCTTACCATTTCGCTTGCAATATACAACGGTGTGGTAAGTTGCGCTTATGAGCTCTTCGTTTGCAAAAGCTAATAGAGTAATTTACCACTCGCCATGGTGAACTCTTCGTTAGAAAATAGCAGTGAACTGGT